ATGTAGGCCTAACGAATATTAATATAGGCTATGTGGACTCTCTGATAGTCTTGACAAACTCAGTTGTAAAGTGGCTTCAGGTTGTGCATGACAAATATCATGATATTTCTGAATTCGGCAAAGGGGCACTCCAAGTTATTTTAGTAGGTTGTAAAATTTAGTTGAGCAAATTAATGCCAGTCAAAACCAAAATTTAAAGATATATGCCCGCTGCCTTTAATTTTTGGAACGTCAAAAAAATCTAAGGTTTCTGTAAACCTCTTACAGGTTTTAGAATTTCTTTGAAATCGAATTGAAGAGTGATGTCAGGTGATCGTGTAGGCATGGCATATTAAATAATTGTATTCGTTATAATCTTTTCTGTAGAATTATTGTCATTTTATCAAATTAGGACTTGTGTCATTTGGAATGTAGATGTCAGTTACAACTTTACAGTACAAAGATATTTAACAATTACTTTAGTTTAACATGAGAAGAGTTGTCATATATTTTAAACAGTGTTTGAAATGTTATAAATGGGATATTAAACACCATAAAGATGTTTTTGAACACAGAGTATAATCCTCTAGTGAGATTTTATTGTCAAGTAAAATTAGCAAATGATTTAATCTAGAAATTGACAGACCATATCATTTTGTTTGCACTGACCTTACATGTAATTTAATATATATATTACATACATCAAAATACTAAATAAATATCACTAGCTATAACTGATATCTGATAAAGATATATTAGAAGAGGAATAGTAAAATGAAAGGGATTTTAAAGAGTTTTTAAAACTCTTTATGTGTATCTGAGACACTGGTATCATCGATTTGCACCATTCCAATTTTGCAATCTTGCAATTCCTCTAAAAGTAAGCTTTTTATGACATCACTATTGCAAAAGCTGCTATTGACTTATAAGAACTTTAGTGGAATTGCAAGTCACAGACAACGGTTTCCCCCTGTCAGTGATGCAGGTAAGAGGGGCTGACATGGAAAAAGCATCTAGTCGTTCGGATGGGCAATAAACCGAGGCCCAGTGTGTTACAGGCTGTGCACGTTAAAGATCCCTCGACAGTTGGAAATCGAAAAAAGAGTAGGCTAATGCTGCTGTCCTGGCAAAATTTCCCTCATCGCACTCTGCATGGCGTTGCCCGTCTTCATTAGCCCACATGGTGCAGAAAAGTAGGACGTAAAACTCCATTCATTTCATTTCAAGTCACAGACGTCTGATTGAAAATGTATAAGATGCAAATGGATGCTATTAATTGCCCCAATACACATAAAAAGTTTAGAAAACCTCTTAATAATCCTCTTTAAATAAATGTATAGATATCATTGAGATAAATATACTATAAAAATATTCAATTGATTTTATCCAGAGGCGTTTTGTTGAATATTTAATATTGGTTTGAAGAGTTGTATGTAGGAAATAGAGATAAAAATATAAAAAATATTTGATTTGATATATATGATTGGTTTTTATTGAATATTGAACTTTATCAAACTATGTCATCATCTATATTTTATTGTTATATGCCCACTATATTGTGTATTGTCATCATTTATTTTTGCCCTTGTACCTTTTCAACCATGACTCCAATACACCAAAGGAATAAATATGCCTATTTTTTGGTGAAAAATTGGTAATATTACATGGAGTAGATGCATTGAAGTTGCTGAAATTACAAAATGTACTATGAGACCCATAGCAGGGGGAGGGGGCAAGAGAGAAAATTTGACCAATGACCAAAGACATCGTGTTATAATCACATGATACAGTCACGGGCTTTATTCTCATGTATATCTCGATGGACCTTTTGATTCGAATAGATGGGTCCTTCCATGCAAGATTTAAGCCTCCCAGATGGCGGAGGCCTTGGGCTAGCTACAAGTCTGTGAACCTTTCATTTCATGCTCATAAATTTTTCTTCTGATAATGCTGTCTTCATTGTTGAGATAGGTCTTTCACATTCCTAAACTGCTAAACTGAGGACACTGTTACTAATCCTGTTTTTGAGACGAAGGTGCAATTATTTACTTCTAGAAATAATGAACCTGTCCTTTTAATGACAATGTTGAGTTATACTGAGTAACTAAGCTGAAATCTGCTAAATTATATATCATTTGTTATTTCAGAGTGCTTCAGCAGGCTATGAATCAGCTATTATTGGTGAAGCTCATGGGTTAATTACTGATATGTTAGCAGATTCTAATATGCCTCTACATATAATCAGCGGTCTTCGTGCTGTTAGTAATCTGCTCAAACCACCAGAAAGTCATTCTTCAATTCATAAACCACGTGTTAGTCCATTAGTTTCGTTAACAGAGTCCTCATCATATGGCTCTGATTCAGAAGAAAGTCCCTATACTGGAGAAAGACCATCCTCATTACCAAAGGTACGGTATATTTAAATATGCCCAAACATTCTCTACCTCTATCAATCTATCTACAGCACAAAATTGTGCAAACTGCAATTCTACATTTGGCATTTGGTTACTTGATTGCTGAAAAAAGCTGTTGAAAAAATAACTGAAATTTTTAAAGGTTGACAAAAGCTGGCACATAATTTGCTGTAGTTTTGAGCAACCTTTTGTTCTTTTCTAATTACTGCCAAAATAGAAACTTGAATACATTCCAACTCTTAGGAGGTTAATTTGGTGCCAGAATAAGTCTTGGTGTGGATATCAAAAAAACTTTCATAATTATATTTAAATCTAATTTTCATTTCAGCGATTGCGACGAAGCTTGCCACCAAGTTTGATTCGACGGATGTCTACAAGTACATGGACAACCACAACGTCAGCCACAGGAATGCCAACATTAGAACCTGAGCCCTGTCGGATTCGTAGTGCTTCCTTCCGACATTCGAGAGAAGGAACACCAGGATCAAGTCCAAATGGTAGTCGTAGTAATAGTCCCTCTCCCATTTCAAATACTACTGTTGTTTTAACTATACCTAAATCTAGGTCCTTCTCATTGGCTGCTACACCCAGTTCCCAGTCTCACCAAAGACGTTATTCTCGTAAAAGCGTGGGAAATACCTCAGATATTGGGGTAAGTCTGTTACGTTCAGATAGTAACAAAATAACTAGACCTCAACCATCAAGTAGTGTGGACAATGAACAAAACGAGGGTGTTTCAAAACCGCTCTCAAAAATATTACGGCATAATATAACTTCTGATTATGAAAGTAGTGACTCTCCTAGTAGTAGTGACCATAGTGATAATATTGTTACATCAGAGGAAGTGACTGGATCACCACCAAGAAAAGTAAGAGTATTTGTATCATATTTTTAACTTGGCATGCCAATCTAAATGGTCCTAGTGATGGTATAGAGTCCACACAGGTTCTGGAAAACTTGTGATCTTGAACATGCTTTGAACATAAGACCTGGAGCCCTCAGCCACAAAATATTTCTCATGCTTAGCTAAATTTTACTCAAATTCATTAATGGGGAACAGTTGGCATTTTCAGAGATTGATTTGGGTCTTTATTGTGCTTTAATAGTCTTAAGAAATACTAAAACGCAGGATAATCCCTTCAAATATACCTCAAACTAGAAATGTCACTGTCTATTTCTATATATGTGTTTTCTATATATGGCATAGTCTCACCAAAATTCAAGTTGAATTTTTAACTTTCAAACGTCAATAAATATGGATACAGATGGATTCGAAGGCTCAAATTTCGATGATGAGCCATGAACACTATTACTGATTATGTAAGCTAAAAAATTCCCGTTTCTGAAACGAAGGTATGATTGGTCAAACCAACATTAAAGTTGCTCCTTTAAGGAAATGTAAAATTTGAAGATTAATGTGATAACACCAAAAAACATTGTGTACTAAGGAATAAATTAATAATCAATTTCTTTGGTACAATCAGTTATGCACCTGTAATGGTTGCTTCAAATTTGGGTAAATCCTAGCTAATTATGAAAAAGGATTGTGGTCCTGGGGCCAGGAAAACTAAGTCTTCAGACACACGGAAAGATACAAGTGACTGGTAGTTCTATTGTTTACCAGTATAAATTTGGTTAGAGTCTGTGAATAGTGTTTGTACTTTAAGATTTCCATTGAAATGTATCAAGCAAAGAGTGTGATGTGGAAACTCAGACTTGATATATATCACTTCTGATACAAATGAACATTTCTTGGCACATAATCAATGTCTCTTTGTTATTAGATACCATAGAGTCTGAGAAACCTGTAAGGGCTAAACTTCAAACACATTCCTGTCCTCGTATTTTCAAAACAATCTTAGCGCTAGGATGTCCCAGGGTCTTTGCTTTTAACACTGATTCTAGGATATCCTAGAGCTAAGATTGTTTTGAGAATACTTGGCCAGTTCTTTAAGGTTCACAGTACAAGTGAAAAAAGCGAAGGGTCTTTACTAAGAAATTCACCACCAAAGGATCACAAATTTGATGAAATCCATGTGGGGACAGAATGAATATTTAATCTTGGTCTGACAATTTCAAATTAATGGTGGTTGACAACTCAACTCCCAAATATCTAGTCTTGTTGGATAATCTAGGAAAGATCATTTCCGGCCAAAACAAGCTGGGAGACAAGGTCTGTGATAACATAAGTGGTTATCCTCAAAACTTTTGGTTTTCCATTTTATCTAAAAGTGCCCTCACACCATTGTGATTACCAGTTGTGTGTGGTGAAGAATAATGAAAATGGTCATGAAAAATTGCATAAGAGCTGCATTCAAGACGTATGACTTCTATTCTTATTCGTAACCATACCCAACTGGCGATCGCTATGGTATTAGGATCCCTTAAGGTTGAAATTTGAAAACTATATACGTGTTTGTATTGTAGGATGTTAGTAGTCATGTTAGTAGTCATGTAGTTACAGTAGAGAACAAAGCAAAAGAAGAAGAAGCTGAAGAAGATGATGATGATAGTCAACAAGATGATAATAAATTAAATAGTGATGATACTAGCTCTAATCCATTATTATTTGATATCTCAGAAACAGACAGTCACCCATTATTACAAATTAGTCGCTTAAGTGAATGGGATTATCCTATATTTCAATTATCAGATTGTGTCAAAGACTTTATATTGAGTAAGGTAAGTAAACAAAGTTGACTACACAAAATTCACTGAAATGAAATGAATGGAGTTTTACGTCCTACTTTTCCGCACCATGTAGGCTAATGAAGACGGGCAATGCCATGCAGGGTACGATGAGGGAAATTTTGTCAGTCCCTGACAGCCCGCTCTTTTTCGATCGTTTAAAAAGGAAAGCCAGTAGCACACTGGGCCTCGGTTTATTGTCCCATCTGAACGACCAGACGCTTTTTCCATGTCAGCCCCTCTTACCTGCATTACTGACAAAATTCAGGATTCATATACATACAGAGGTTTATTATACAAGGTTCAGAAATTACTGTTAATGAGCATGCTTTAATTTGATTTTAACTGAATTTTGTAACCGGTCATAAATTATAAAAAAAATTTTCATAAGCAGACACCGATTTTTATGATACAAAATTCAGTGAAACTGTTTATAAGCGTACATCAACATTTATGATGCAATATTCAGTCAAATCAATTATAAGCAATACAAAACAATACTAGTATATACTGGCTATTTTTTGAAAGAGTTGGGTGGAAAATTGAATAAATGCGTGTAATTGCTTATATTTATATTTTCAAAATACACGCTGTGCATGAAAATATTCAAAATACACGCTGTGCATGAAAATATTCAAAATACACACTGTGCATGTAAATAGTCAGCTCGCGGCATTGATTTTCTATACGCTACAATGCACAGAGAAAAACACTTTTAAAAATGTAAAAACAACACCAATATTATCTTACTATTTTAATCTAGTCTTGATTTATTACTTATACAAATAAAAATTTGTTATGAAATAAAATGTTTTGGTGAAAAGACATACAATGTGATTTGCTAGACACACAACTAATTTGCAATGAGCAGACTGACAAAATGGGGGAGCAACATTTTTGAAAAATAGAATTGATTTGGTGCATTCTGGCACATATTTTGGAGAAAAAACAAATAAAAATCATATTTTGAAATTTGTTCAAATAAATTGGGGGTAGACCTACAATAATTGGGGGTGCAAACTAATTACCTAACCCCACACACCTCCTGTATCCCTATGCGCCACCCCTACCTTCTGCACCTTTATCCTACAAAAAATGATTGATATGTAATGATAGGAACTTTCAAGGTTATACCAATTGAAGTGAAAATAAAATTTAACCTCCAGAGAAACATTTAATGAATTCAGATGTACTGGAAAATGTGACCTACAGTAGGTTATATTCAATCACTGAATAACACTTAAAAGATGACAATTTGTTAATAATTCTCATTAAAAACTGAATATAGAAGAGAATGAGAGTGAAATATTATGTAAATGACAATATAATTTGTAGTTGAAATGTGAAAGATAATGTTTATTGATATTTTTACATTTATAACTGAAACTAATTTTACATATCATAAATACTAATAGATGTTTATATTATAGTCATTGTAATAAGATGTAATCAGAACCAGTGGCTAGAAAGTTATACACATACTTGAACATTACTTAACAAAAATATCATTTTATAGTACAGTACATTGTATTGTTGACAATTTTAAGATATTTGGGCACAATCTTATCCTTTTATGCATAAAAATTGTTTAGTCAAGGAAAGATATTTGTGCATATTCGGTTTTTATTTAAAATATTGAGATGGACAATTAATCAACACAATATACCATTTATTTTACCTTATGATACCTACCATAACTATTGATATCTATATAAAACTGAATCATTAATGAGTCCATCAAGACATTACCAGATATTCTACAATATCCCTGTGCCCCACACAGTCCCAAAATAAAGTCCAGGTAAGGAGTTGTACAAAAAGGGAAAACCATACCCCTTAGACTGTATTTGGTACTGTGTCTTGGGCACAGTTACATCATAGAATATCTGATAATGTCTTGATGGACTCATTAATGGTTCAGCTTTATAAAGATACCAAAAGTTGTGACAAGTTATGCTTCTCAAAAACTAGAGACTCAAAAATAGGTCTGAAAAAACTTCTATAATTCTACCTATGATCATTAAAAGGAAAAATGTTTAAAACTATATATATCTCCATTTTATTGTTTCAGGTATCTTATAAATTATTTAACGAAGTTGGATTGTTTGAGACATTCCGAATACCGTTACCAGAATTTATGAATTATTTCCATGCTTTGGAATTAGGCTATAGAGAGAAACCATGTAAGTGCTATTTTTCTCATAAAGAACATGTACTAATGCATGTGAGCTTAACAGAGCAATTTGTGAATGTACATGTATATCAAATTTTGAGGGATTTGAACTTAAACCCCGTATCCAACAGGGTTATATACTCTTCACTTGATTTAGATCTCAACCAATAAGATTTATCTTCAGAACATATGGTGTTGTTTTCCAGCTCAATAGCCTTGTTCTATTCCATGTGTAACACAATCTGGAATTGATCTAATGGAATTATGCTGTAGATAAGAGAAATCAGTATTTAATCCTGTATGTGATGAGAATTTTAAGTTTCAGGATAAAGATTTAGATATGGGATGAGCTCCTAAACTATTTAGAATATAAGATTTGATTAGCAATAGGTCACACCAATATTCAATATTGATTTGCATTTCATAACAATTTGATTGCAAATGAAATGATCTGGTATTATGCCCAAGATCTATGTAAAACTATATAAAAAGCTATCGCAAAATCTTACAGAATCAATAGAGAGAAAGATATTCTCACTAATTTGCGATTTGATTTGATTAGCAGAATGAAGATTTTGATTTAATCTAATAAAGAAAAGATTGTATCTCAAAATTAGTCATTTTGACTCTCAAACTTTGATACGATACCACTTAAATTGAACCTTGTATGTTCGTACTCAGCCCTGTGGCAAGGAATGAATTGGTGCTGGGGCTCAGATTTTGTAGAATTAAAAGCTTAGAGAACTCATTTCTGACAATTTTGAGTTGCCAAAAACGAATCAAAATCTATATCTTTTTGATTTTGTACAAAGACATACTAAATGAATCAATCTCTGCTGAACTACTGAAGATTTTGCTGGGGCTTAATTCTCACTTGCTGGGGCCCAGCCCCCACGGACCACACCCTAACGACTGGGCTGTCTGTACTCGATATTGTTGTAATCTACAGACGTTTTATTTCAGATCATAATAGAGTACATGCTACAGATGTTTTACATGGTGTATATTTTTTAACAACTCAACCTATACCAGGTTTTGTACAGTGTAATTCAACTGAAGTTATGTCACGACATGGTTCATCTAGTGAATCTGGTTCGTATTCCTACTATTATCTCAGTTCATCATCATATTGCAAATCTTTAAAATGAAATGGAGTTTTACTTACTATTCTACACAGAATTGAGCTCAGAAATATTCAATAAATGACAGTAGCTTACTGATATCCTTTCTAGTTTCAACTGTCCATATGAAATGAATGGAGTTTTACGTCTACTTTTCTGCACCGTGTGGGCTAATGAAGACTGGCAACAACTCCATTTTGATTTCCAACTGTCGAGGGATCATTAATGTGCACAGCCTGTAGCACACAGGGCCTCGGTTTATTGTCCCATCCGAACAACTAGACGCTTTTTCAACTGGCCATAGATCTTGAGCATGGACAACTAATAAAACAGAGGGTAGAAAATTTTCTAGCACATGTATATTATATTACAATTATAAACTGTAATGTCATTTGGAACTCTTTGACAAGTAGAGTTTCATGCAAATCAGTAGGTACTGGTTCCAATTAATACACTTAGTGATATGTGTGTAACTACTGTTATCAATTAAGCACTGGGATTTGATGTTTTCAAACATTTGCATTATGAGCGTTTTGATAGCAAGTTACATATTAATAGTGTAAAACAATCATTTTTATGGAACTCTTCACCTAAAAGGTAATTATAGACGTCCTAGTAACCTGGATAAAAAAACAAATGAAACTGTGGTAAAATGTCAAGGTGTAATGTAAATCGGGCTTATAACACTGGTATAGTACTTGAATGAAATACATGTTGAAAGTAATTTTATTTCAGAAACTGAGAATGAACCACGAACTAGTTTTAATCGGCCGAGTTTTGCAGCTGATGATAGTTATGGTATAATGGGAGGTAATTTTCCAGCATTAGAATTAATGGCTATGTACACAGCAGCTGCCATGCATGATTATGATCATCCAGGTCGAACCAATGCTTTCCTGGTAGCAACTCATGCATCAAAGGTAATAACCATTAAAACTTCTTGACTACTATAGCCACTTTTCTTGTATCATGGAAGTTTGTAAGTGTTAGCGATTTGATTGGATTGTAATCTAGGGAACACAACCAATCAGAGTCCTCAACAGACATGTTAAACAATAAGCCATAATGTTAACAGTGTTTCTGTCAAAGGCTGTCAAAGTTTGTAATAGTATGCTGTAATAACATTCAGATGCTTTAGGCAGGACCACCAACATAACAGTGATTTATCTTAATATTATAGTAAAACCTCCAAATTATGGCATTATGAAATGTGAGAGGTGTCCACAGTGATAGTTACCTTAGGGTATCATCTATACTTCTGAAAACTAGCAATCACAAGCTATGATTATTTCAAACCAGTTAATCATGAGGAGTGTTATATATACTTAAAAGAAATGTATTTTACAGGCTGTGTTGTATAATGATAGATCTGTCCTAGAAAACCATCATGCTGCTGCAGCATGGAGATTAATACTCACAAACCCTAAAAATAACTTCCTTCGCTCACTTGATGCTGTCGAATTCAAACGATTTCGATTCCTGGTAATTGAAGCCATAATAGCAACAGATCTGAAGAGACATTTCGAAATCCTAGCAGAATTTAATGCCAAGGTAATATTAATTAGTTTACTATTAAGAATCTTAAAAAAACAGAAAGTTATATTAATGTACCAATACGGATCCTTTTTGGTTTCAATTTTCAGACATTTTTTTTTTTCAAAAGTAGTAAAATCAACCATTGATAATTCTTAGTTATTTTAAGAAATGTGGTTAAAAAGTTATATTTTTCTTCTGTAAAATTTTTGAAAAATAGAAAATCATTTCCATTGCCCAGTTCTTTATGTTTTTGTTTTTGGAAAACCAAATCTTTTGACTCTTATGCATGAAAATTCCTGTAAATTATATAAAGTGTAGTATATAATAAAATATTTCCATTGTTAAAATTGTGCTCAATTCATAAATTTTAGAGTGATATAGAAATGATAACAACTTGTTCAACTTCAGTAGGGGCGTAGGCTGAAAATAGGTCAATTGTCTGAAGATATCATAGTGTGAAACTCTGAGTCACAATATGTTTCAAGTTCTGTTTTAATATTTCTATAATATATTATAGGTTAACTGTGATGAATCACCTGGTATAGATTGGACAAGTGAAAGTGACCGTATGTTAGTCATGCAAATGGTCATTAAGCTAGCAGACATCAATGGTCCCAGTAAAGCCAGAGATTTACATTTTGAGTGGACAAGAAGAATTGCTGAAGAATTTTATGAACAGGTACATTTTTGTACACCTTCATTTCATCTATGACATCTCCAACCTTCCGTCTGCTTGTCTGAAGAGTTCTCAATTTCTTTTCTGTTTTCAGTTTTTAACTGATTTCAATAACCCTGTATCTCCTGAAGAAAGCATTCCCACTTGTTCTGATGTTTGTAATATTCAAATTCCATTCTTAGGATTTCCCCTTGTAACCATGGCAATGGGGGGGGGCCAAGCCATTTAATGAAATAAAATAATTGAACTAGCAAATTGCTGACTTTCTCTCCCAAGAGACCACCTTCATTAAGAGACAGCCAAGGATTCATCCCTTGAGTGGCCTCTTAATGCAGGTTTTACTGTATCCCGTTAAGAATTAACACTTATTTTCAACTTGGAAAGAAATAATGGAATATTTTGTACTGTGCTACTTTCAGGGTGATGAAGAACAGTCAAGAGGAATGCCAATATCACCCTATATGGACAGAACTTGTCCACAATTAGCTAAATTACAAGAAACCTTTATTAATCATCTAGTAGCCCCATTATGTAATGCTATGGTAACTGGTGGATTATTACCAGGAACATGGGTTGAAGATGATGGTGATGGTGACAGTAAGTAGATGCTCTTCTCTTGAACCATGTGTCTTTTGCCCCATCTCCAGGACTGGATGCTTTGCCCAATTCAATAAAGCTCATTCTATGCTGCAGACTTGCATTTCAGTTATCAATCCTTCTTAGTACAGCTAGGTTTTGGGGAATATCTTTCTTATTTTAGACTCTGCTATTATCCATACACATTGACATCTAGGTCAAACTCTAGCGGTGGGTTTACCGGCCATACATTAACTCGGTATTAAGTCGGTATACCAGCCGTTGCTAAGTGACATCATACAACTTTATCGTCATATGCTTTTACTTTTATTACTTGGAGTTCAGAGTATATGACGTTATATTTCATTTACACTCAAGGTTCAAAGGGTTAAGGTTTATTTATAGAATTAAATGAATCTTGGATGTATGTATATGATATAGTTTCAGGTCTGTCTGATACTGAGAGAACTGATACTGATAATAAAGATACAGAAGATGAATGTGATTCTGAATCAGGTATTCATAGTTTAATAACATTTTATTTTTTAATCAGGCTGCTTCTTTGACATAGAGCCTCCACGGCCTAGACACTTGCTCACTAACCAGCGTTAGCAAAGATAAAACCTTTGCATTTCTCAACTGGTTTTTCCCTCTGTCAGTGATGCAGGTCTAAGGGACTGACATGGAAAAAGTGTCTTGTCATTCAGTTGGACAATGCATGTTAAAAATTCCTGAACTTTTGGAAATCATAAAAGAGCATGCAGGGTAATGCCGCTGTGGCAAAATTTTCCTTCTCTCCCACAGCCTACCCGAAAATTAATGTTTTGCTTGAATCTAATAATGATCTACTTCAAAATATTCATAGAGATTCAATACTCTATAGGTACAATGGTTGTGAAAGCAAGTAAACATACACGTAAAGTGAACTGTTTATTAACTAAAAATATGAAAGATAATTATGAATTATGGATAAGACGTATTAAGGATGAAGAACAACATAAATCAAGTGAAAATGAATCAGCTCAGTCCATTTTAAAGGTTAGTGTCTGTTGAATATTTGATATTATAGTCATTATTTCAATATTTTGTGTTGTATGTTCATACTAAAATATAATAACAGCTTTCTTAAGCGGTTCGGGTTTCTCAATGTTTGTGTTTCTATATTCAAGCTGAATGTGGTTTAAGGCCTACTAGCTTAATGAATATATATTGTCAAATTTGTATTTATATGACAAAAATATGTTGTATTACAAAAATTAGATGCACAGAACATTTTAAGTTTTACATTTTGAAAAAACAAAAAATATAGACATTAGAAAATTTTAAAAAGTAGGTAAATAAGTGCAGATGTTAAATAAATTTCAGCCTTGGCAGCCTCTGCAAGAGGTCTCAATCATCACTCACAGAATAATGTGAAGAATTGTCCCTTAAAGATGGGTTTCCTTATTTTTGTGTGTCAAATAAGGACACTATTTGATTAATTGGTGTTTCTAATGAAATATCATGTATTCTTAATCATATCATTAGGTTCTTATTGCATATAATTAAAAGTTTTAACCAATCATAAATGTCCATATATGTACAGTCTGGATAAACAAACAAAAAATTTGATCAAATTCTGCTGGTAATCCTCTTCTAATTTAGCTAATTATGAATTAATTATGGACATGTGAGACAACTAGTATTTTTCCTAATCATTAGAACACCATTACTTTCTATTCATTTTAAGTAATAGCATTTTCATTTTCATAAATGATAATAAGGGAATCCATCTTTAACTCTAATATATATTTCTATTTCATTAGAACTTAAAAAGATAAAGAGAATTAATTTACTACTTATGCAGGTTAATTATTTTCTAGATTAGAGAATTTTTTGTATTATTTTGTTTAGTTGTTTTGCTAACAATTATTAATGATATAAAAAAATATTACAGCTCATGGAAAGAGGATTCTTCTCTAAAAGGGTAACTTTCTTGAAATCTTTTTAGATGGCTTTGTCTCTCTTGCCTGTCAGTAGAATCACTTTTGTAGTGTGTTCACAGGGTAGTTTTCTCACTATTTTTGTCTTTTTTTTTTATATAAATATTTCTATTTTTTGCTACATTGACAATTTAGTTATGTCATTGTTTTTTTTTGATAATGTTGTTTTGGCAATGTTGCCTCTATCCGTTAGTCCATCCCTCAGATTTATATGAAACTTGTTATATGTGGGTATATTTCTAATGCCCCGAATATGATCATTTTGTAGGATTTGACCTTTCCTGTTCTTCTTTTTGTTAGTTTGAAAATTGAATATTTTGGAAGTTTAATTCCTGAATTTGCATGTATTCATATTAATTAGATACTGATATTAAAGAAATAAAAGCTCGAGTTTTTACCAGAATTTGATAAAGATTGTTTGTATAATGGCCCTTTTTATATCACTTTGAACACTGAGTGTGATTAAATAAGAACCAGGGGAGAATCTGGAAAATTTTTGAGAGGGAGGCCAAAAATGAGGTGTCTCTGTGAGGCAAGGCTAGAAGGGTCAAAAAACCTTGTCTTGGGTTGTTAGAAACCTCCCCAGAATCCAACAGATTTCAGATGGCCTAAGATGAATTTTAAGCATTTAAAGGGCTTAATTTACATCACATTAAAATAAGACCTTTCACAAGCTTGAGAGTGGACATGGCCTAAATATTACTATCTAAATATGACACTATGAGACATATACTCTAGTTTCCAATAAATCTTAATGTAGTTTTTGACCTTAAAACAGTTTCTATTGCTATTAGTATTAAAAACTATATTATAATTTGTTGCAATGGGTGTATATCAAGTTGCCTGTCAAGCTATCTTCTTAAAACTTATTTCAGCAATTGTGCGGAATCATTGAGTGGAAAATCAATTTCTTTAATCTGTTCTATTTTGCTTCCATAGTCTTACCTTTTGCATTTTCTGTCACTCTTTAAATAGATGGTAGAGTCTGTTTCAAGGCGTAAATATACTGGAAATTGTATATCTAATTTGTCAACTTTGAATCTAAATGTTTTTTTTTTTATATGATGCATGGTTGTTTTTGTTTTTTTTTGGACTTATATTTGAATGATATATTTTATTATTAGACAGATTTTTCAGATAACAATTTTGTAATACCATAAATTATGGCCTATAATGTTATCAATAAAAGCATTAATAAGGGTAAATGCATTCTATTGCAGTTCTAATAATGATATTGCCTATCTATTTCCAGGATGTAGTATCAGATAAAAATGAAATGGAACCTATTAAAGAAGAATCTGAATCTCCTCCACCATCTGGTAAACTAGCATCAGCAACAACAAAATCATCATCTAAAACAAGCATTCAAGCAGATGAAAATAAGGCATCATGAATCTCTAATAGTTTAAATGCATAATTCTTAAATCTATAAAGATAAAGTCAGGATCTTCTAGCTTATACATGTAATTGTAAATGGAGATCATATAATTCCTAAATCTGCAAACATAAGTGATGGTGTTTATGCTTTTTACATGTAGCTTTATATAAGTAATGGAGATATTTTTGGTACTGTTTAATGCTCAGCAAGTAAAACTAATATTAGTATCATACATTTACACCATTGTACTATATTGTACTATATTCACTAACAGAGAAATGATAAACTATTTAAACTGCTGACACTTGCATACTAAGAAAAAGCAGAAAAGTATCCACATACATCTTCAAAATGTTAAGCTTCGTCTTATACCTTGACTGCAATACCCAGTTTTCTTGTATCATGGAATGCACCGATTTAATTGCATTGTATGCTAGTGAGAAAGCCAATCAGAGCCTTCCACAGAAAGACTGTAGTAAACATGGTTTAGTGTTGACAGACTTTCTGTCAAGGCCTCTGAATGGCTGTATTTGCTAGCCTATAATCCAATCAAATGACTGCATTTAAATACGTCTGTGATACAATAATATTGGCTATTGCAGTCAAGGTATAAGACAAAGTTCGTAATATCTTGACATTGTAAAGAATATACATAACCAAATCTTTTATTTTGTCCTTTGACTGTCAGGGTAGACTTTTTATATTTTAAATAGTACTTTATATAATCAAATTATTTTGAAACTAAAAGAGGTGGGCAAGTTAAAAAAAAAGCAACTTTCAGGAAATCTATTTTGCAAATTTGTGCATAATTATAACAATGCAATAGATCAAGCTCAATATGACTACAAATCAAACTGTATATCTAGATAGAAGGGAGGAATTTTGTACATCTACTCGATACTTATGAGAAAAGTTCATCATGGTGAAAATATAATCATGATAATCATGGTGAAAATATGTAAAATTTTCATCATAATAATCATGGTAAAATGTCAAAATTTCATCATGATAATCATGGTGAAAATATGTCAAAATATTACTCATAATAACAATTTCATCATGATAATCATGGTGAAAATATTATACATAGTAACAATTTCATTGTAATAATCATGGTGAAAATATTATTTATTGTAACAATTTCATCATGATAATCATGTTGAAAATATTATTTATTGTAACAATTTCATCATAATAATCATGGTGAAAATATTATTCATGGCAACAATTTCATCATTATAATTATAGTGAAAATATTAATCATGGTCTAAATTTCATCATGACAATCATGGTGAAAATATTGTTCATGATCAAAATTTTAATCACGATTTGCATTTCAAACAGATCAGGAATTTGTTCATGTCAATTATGTACAAAATTCCTTCCTTTTCAAATTTTCATCATGATAAAAATCACGTATTAAATTTCAATCATGATTATTTTTTCCTTTGATTTACATGCAGATAAACTTTGGTGACGTATTTCTAAGCCTATTTAGGAGCATTTACTGTAGTCTTCTTCAACCATTGTTTTCTACTCTCCAAGACCTGTTTCTCAAAAATATGTACGACTGAACTTACACGTTAAGTGAAGAAAACGTTATTTTTGACGTTTTTTATAACATTTAAGCATGTATGTTAATCTAGGATATTTTGATAAACATGGTCCT